ATTATCGACACAAGCAAAAAATTAAAAAAAAAAAATATTCGTACAAGTTGAAAAAGTGCCCCCCCCCCCTCACTTTTCTAATGGTCCGCCCCTACATAACCTCTGCCAAATGTTACTTGCATGGCGAAAGCATGGCAAGAGGCCCTTAAAATTGAAGGATGTATGTTCGTAATATATAACTGCTGGCTCCCCACTCATGCAAAATTGCCCCCCCCCCCGGTCCTTGGCCCTTTTAACCACATTTTTGCGCGAAATCATGAAAATGTGAATGTAGTAATTCTTTGTCTGTATTTTATCATACATTACAATGAGAATATACGAAGAAATTCTTAAAGGATTGGTCTAGCTGGATGTTTGTAAACTTTAACTTTTAACATTAGGGTATAGCTTTGAGTTAAAATATATGTTGAAAGACAAGCACATTGCGAGTAAATGTGTTAAACATTAACTTTTTATAGTATTCAGAATTATTTAAAATGCCCCCCAAACCGCACTAATTAGCAATTTCGGAGTCTCCATGCAGGTTTCAAAATTTCCACAGACACCCGTACAAAACTCGTCGCTTGCTCAAAGGGCCTTTCTCCAACTTATGGCCACCCACTTAAAAAGGTTTACCTCTTCTGAGACTTCTGAATCACTATCTTCTGAATCACTATCTCCAAGTCTATTCAGACTTGACAATTTAAGCCGAGCAACTTCAGCTGCACTTTCACCTAAAGTAATCAAAATAGACATTCAATATTGTTTGGTATGCATATGCTAGAAGGCTATGATTATTTTGCACAAAATATAGTATTTTTCTGTATATAATATTCTTCGTATATATATGCAACTGTTCAATCGCCGCTTGAATATGCAAAAGTTGCTCAATAAATACTTTGCTTCACACAGAAAACAAAATATGCTAGTACATATTTATTTAATGACAGTTCAATAATGGCTGTAAGAGAAACATAAATAATGATTGAAAAGGTCAATACTTTGAAAGTCTCAGCTCCATGTTATGAGATTTATCCCAACGCAAAACACGTCATTTGGATGTGCAGTAGAGACTCTGCATTGGTTTGTATGAAATGAAAAAAATACTTACTCCTAGTCCTACGTCCGACAGGCTTTTCAAACTGTAAAAACGTATATAACTGGAATTAATGTTTGGTTGATACTTGAATTAAAATAATAGTCGCAAAATTTTAAGCAGGGTGAATTAGAGAGAAATGCCAAATAAAAAGCGAAATAAAAAGCCCTTCCTAGTAGATAATAAAATTGTCTGCCGTTAGACAGTCAAAAAGTTGGTTGAATTCGGGCATGGTTATATTGACCATCAATGGGTTAACTAATTCGACACAAGTCTCCTGCCATTTCGTAGCAAGCTTGGTCGATTCGTACTCATCCTTAAGACATGAAGTTCGCACCAAAAAAATTCCAACTGCGAGCAAAACGCTCAGATGTGACGGCACACAAAGCTAGGTTAATATAAAGATCTTTGAGAAAATGTGTTTATAATTATATCGCAACTGCATGGCTTGTTGCTGACATCTACATTGGTTTTAATAGGGTTTACTGCCTTTGTAGCACTTTTATGAAACAAAATATGAAACATCGGTAAAGGAGTTGTATATAATTAAATTTTAAAAGTTTAACAAATGAGACAAAATTCCTTTTTATTATACAATATCCCTTTCAGTTTCCTTGCTAGCAGGGCTCCTCCTCTTACCATAGATCTGTGGCAGGAAGCCTTTAAAATTGAAGGATGCATGTTTATAATATACTGTACACAGATGTCTTAAAACGTTTTACCTCTGTTATATGCTCGTCAAATGTAAATAGTGATTTAAGCCGAGGAACTTTAGACTCACTTTTACCTAAAATAATCAATATAGACATTCAATTTTGTTGGGTATGCCAGAAGGCTAGGATTGTTTTTCATAAACTATAATATTTTTCTGCATATAATATTTGTCTGTATATATTCTTCCTATTCAACTGTTCAATCACCGCTTGAATATGCAAAATTACTCAAAAAATACTTCAAATATATTTCCTTAAGTGTACTACCTTTCTTTATTTTGCTTTACACAGAATATGCTAGTACAAATTTATTTAATGACAGCTCAATATAGTGGCTATAAGAAAAACACAAATAATGATTGAAAAGTTCAATACTTTGACAGTCTCAGCTCCATGTTATGAAATTTATTTATTTATTTAACTTTGCCAAAGAACATGCTACATAATTATATCACATACACAAGACATATAAATACAAATGGCAGGTACACGCTACAGCTTTCGCCAATTACAGATAATAAGATACGAACAAACACATAAAAACTATAAAACACGATGTTTTACAGGACAGATTACGACACTTGTTACAAGACAAACATATATAGATCTCCATATTCTTGGATCATCCACATCGTATACGTTTTTCTCGCAGCTAGTTTTTGAACTGACTTAAGCAGGTGTTATGGTGTGTCAAATCCCTTGGCAGTACATTCCACAATCTAGTCGATCTGTTTAAATATAATTTTTGGTAGGCGGTGGCCTTGCACGGTGTTGTTGCGAGTGACAAATGATTAGTATGGGATGATCTGGTTTCTCTTCTGTTGTTATTGGGTGGTGATGGCAGTAAATGATTGCCAATGCTCATTATATGATTCCATGGATTAGTTTCTAAAATACTACCATATCTAAGAATTCGTGCCAATAACACAATGGCATGACATCTAGAAGTAAAAGTCTCTGGTTGTAGGTAGTATCACAACGGAAGGGTACATCCAAAACACATATTGTCGCACGTCTTTGAAGCCTTTCCGTGCGTTGGATTAAAGTCACTGTTTGTGGTGCCCAGATTGGGGATCCATAGCAGAGTCTTCATCAGTCGAATTCCATACCTTTGCACCAACAAATCTAATATTGAACTTACCATAATTCGTTCTTATTTTTGGAAATAAGTATGATGACCTTGAAGCATGCCTGGTGTTATAATTATGCCGTTGATTTACACAATGGTATGTATGTTTAATGTTGATCTTCGAACATATCCTAGGGTGTTGGTGGCTTTAGTACACTGGTAGTCACCATGTTTGGACAAAGAGTCAAAGACGATGTTAAAACTCCAAGATCACACTCACAGTTCGTGCTTTCTAAGATGGTATCATGTCGTGTATATGGGTAGAAGATTTTACTGTGTTTGCGCGTGACTCTCAACACTTCCTTGAGTTTAAAGCCAGGTTAACGTTGGTGTAGCTTTCTTCCAAATTTGACAGGTCATTCTGTAGAGCAGATGCATCCGAGGTGGAATTGATAGTCTTGACGATCTTAGTATGATCAGCAAATGTAGCAATCCATGAGTTACTCACTCACGGCGTTGGAGAGGTGATTTTCAAACAGTAGGAACAACAGCGGACCAAGAATGGACCCTTGCGGTACTCCAGTTACTGTGTGGGAGTGAAGTTGACGCTGCTCCAAGAACGGTTGTTTGCTGATATCGATTAGTTACATAAGAACCAAACCATTTTAGAATTCCATCTCCAAAACCGAATTCACGAAGACGATGTAATAACTCAGCGTGACTTACTTTATCGAAGGCCTTTGACATGTCTAAATAAATCAACCGGTTGAGAATCGGTAACCACATTTGCAAGTTTCCAATCGCCAGGAAGACCACCAGGAAGTGAAGATATGTTGAAAAGGACACAGAGTGATGGAGCAATCTGGATAAATGTTTCTTTCAATAAGCAGGCTGGGATACCGTCTGGACATCGTGCTTTATTTCGGGTAAAAATTAATGTCTTAATTTACTCTTAAAGTTGATCACAAACATGCACCTTCTTGGTCTGCTTGCCTCACTTCCATGCGCTGTGAAAGCGTTGACGGAAAGACAAAGATTGACGTTACCATATATGACAATGAGGCTCTTATAGTTGAAGGTTTCCGCGACGTAATTATTCATGTCTGTATACTGTATTTACTTTTTTTGCAGGTAACCAAAAATAATTTGAAGGGTCAGAACAAATACTGTAAACAACCTATATTACCACCCCAATAATTCCATAAGAAAATTGTGTAAATTCATCTACTGTATTATATGTTTGATGGCTACTTACTGCGTGCTGGCGTTTCTGGGGATTCATTATTCTCCTAAAAATTCAAACCAATTCAGAATTTCGCTTTGTTGAAAATTTCACAATTCAAAATCAAGAACACTAACCCGTTTAATGTCAACTTGAGGCTTTCGGTTTATTGCTCGACGACTTTTTAATTCTGAAATATAAGAATGGTATAATCAACTCTTAGGGTGGTATCTAACTCATTAAGAGGAAAATCATTCGTGCAGTATGTTACGTAATTTCGCGCTCAAAACAAATGAATAACTTTTCCACTTTGTTATGAATATATTCATTTTTTAAAATATTTGACACGTTTCTCAAGTGGCAAGCAAACTTTAAAAGCATGTTGAGTGCTTTATCAGTGAAATTATGCTAAAATGAAGAGATTTTAGATGGTACGCCAAAGTCAAAGAGAAAATTATGTCTGAAGTTCAGTAAGTTTTGCTTATATTGCTGTATAAATATGGCGTCAATTTTACAGCATCGATGATAAATGCTAGTCACTCACCCTGTAGATTTTAAGGTAAATGCAGTGAAATATATGCATCACATTAGTTGCTATTGATGAAATCACGAATATCTTGAATTTGGATTTAATAACATCGCATAATTTGGCGAAACTCAAAGAATACAAGGGCCTATAATTTCTCGTACTGATCCTTATTCGAACAATCTATATTCGCTCCAAACTCCATTTACAGGAATAAAATTCACTATATGATAAAGACGATAATTTAAAAGACAGGGAAACACATACAACTAGGGATCCAAGGATAGTGCAGAGTTTCAAAGACAAACGCTATAAGGCATGCTTATTAATTGCATAGCATTTTCAAGCGTGGTTTATAGCCTTAATCACATGTCGTAGTAGCGCGCGGAACTGTTACAACAGTAAAAAGGCTAAGATCTGGTTAATATAATACTTTACGGTTAAAGAATAACGAGAGTTACGTAATATTATTTATGTCCCCATATAATATTATAGTGACAAGGCATAATTTCTGTTATAATGTTATAATGTTGTAAAGTTTGAAATTGAAAGACACTGCAAGAATTATATAGGATCGCCAACAGCCTAGAAAAGCTGATGGGTTACACTACGAAATAAACAGTTACCATAGGCATTTCATCTCATTATCTATTGTTTTTAATGCGTTCGGCACACGAGTAACCAGACGTTTGAAACAAGCCTAATACATCAGAAACGTCGTGCCTCGTGGAACTGACACAATTTATTGGAGCTGTCGCCGTAAGTATCCCCACAAGGCTACTGATATGCTAAACTTATTTAAATCTATGATTATTGCCATCATCGTTTTAGCGCCCATATTGTACATTTGACTATTGTCTCAGTGACAACTTTAATTGAAATAGCTGTATAAGATATGTTATGAATAATAAGCACTACGACGTTGTATTCCATTACAAAAAAAACATAAATCTAAAACACGGAAACGTAAAAGAGGCGATTTTATCCAAATTCGTTCCGTTCCGCATTTTATCTCTATATCCGTTGCGCGGAGCCGCTCCGTTTTGCATCCGCTTCCGCATTTTTACCTAATTGTGACGTTTCACAATAACAAGTCTCACTGACCTTTGAGTTAATTTGAAGGTCACGTTGTGTTCATGACTCATTTTCAGCTTTTCGCAACTTTTTATTCAAAACGTCACTTTAGATTTCAATGGTTTCACAGTTATAGCAGTGTTTATAGCAGTTTTGACAAGCTTTGATACAGATAGATTCTCGTAAGATCTGCTAGAGTTCTCGTTGCACTGAACACGAGTTTGCACCGTTGGCGTTGTGCTAGACACGTAAACCAAGATTTTCTCAATATTTATGTCTGAAATGTTTATACATTTCACATTTGAAAACAACACTGTCTTGCTGCTTCCTAGCTCTGTACAATGAATATACCATCAAACTAATATCAGTACTTAATTGAATGCTCGTAATGCATAACATCAATTCAATTTATATATTGCGTAGAATCTCAAAGATTTTCTCAATATAATACACGTCTGAAATGATTATACATTTGAAAACAACACTGTCTCGCTGCTTCAGTTCCTAGCTCTGTACAATGAATATACACTCAAAATAATATCGGTACTTAACATCAATTTATATATTGCGTAGAATCTCAAAGATTTTCTCAATATAATACACGTCCGAAATGTTTATACATTTGAAAACAACACTGTCTCGCTGCTTCCCAGCTCTGTACAATGAATATACCCTCAAAATAATATCGGTACTTAATTGAATGCCCGTAATGCATAACATCAATTTATATATTGCGTAGAATCTCAAAGATTTTCTCAATATAATACACGTCTGAAATGTTTATACGTTTCGAAACACTTGTCTCGCTGCCTCCTAGCTTTGTATAATGAATATACCGTCAAAATAATATTGGTACTTAATTGAATGCCCTTAATGCATAACATCGATTTATATATTGCGTCGATTCTCAAAGATTTACTCAAGATTCACGTCCAAAATGTTTATAATTTGAAAACAACACTGTGTCGCTCCAGCGCTCCTTCCTGGCATCGTCACGCCATCGTGATCTACTGCTTGATAGCGCATGCGCATTTGCGTTGCTAAAGAAAAAAATGGGTTTTCCGGGGGAAAGATCCTTCACACAACATGAGAAGCGAATGTTATAAAATTTACAAAAATTTACAATAACGACAACGATTCCTCGAAATTT